AAAAAATATATATATATATATATATATATATATATATAAAATAGTTTTTTTCTTTTGTTTTTGTGGTGATATATGGTCTGATGACTTGTTTTGTGAGTTTCACTCGGTGGTTCTGTGTTCAGTTGTGTGTCTTTGATGAATGTTTATGTATTTGAGACGCTCAAATGTTAATTATTCTAAAGTTATTTTTATGACGCTGAGGTTTTTCTGCTGATTTTCTGTTCTGTTCCATCAAATCATCTTAAACGTCAAGCACACGTGCAGAAAAAGTTTTCCTTCCAGTATAAAATAATCACAGTCTGTCATTTGGACAGGTTTGTTTGGTTCCTTTAAAAGTTCTCAGTTATGCACAGACTCTCAAGCAGCTGCAGTCTGCTGATTTAAAACCATTCGTCACGTTAGTTTTGTTGGGAGAAATGTACAAAATTTTTCAAGAACATGTGTAGATCATATTTAACCTAAAACAAAATTTTTTTTATAAATAAATAAAAAATATATTATAATACTTCACAATGCAAAACACAATAATGGAATTATTTTATATATTTTATTTTATTTACAAAAATCTGATATCAGCACTAAGAAATTGTATAATTAAAATGATGCATTATAATGCTTTATTGCATTATTTTCATTACACAATTTCTCAGTGCTGTTATTATATTTTTGTGAATAAAATAAATTAATTCAAAAAAATCTATATAAAATGTATAGTGAAAAAAAACGAATTATGAAAATAATGTCACTTTTGCACAAACTTTGAATCGCCCAAAAAATAGTTTTGTTTGTTTGTTTTTGATTATGGGGTGTAAAATGAGCAGATGTGTTCTTGTCTGCTTTCATCAGATGTTTGTCGTGTGGCTTCAGAACAGAAGTGTGCAAACATCAGTGTAGTTTATCATCTGTCCGGTCTCATCTCAACACTGTGAAACGCTGGATTCCAGTCTGGTTTTACACATGAATTGGTCCATTTTCATTGGGTCAGTTTGAATATTCAGTCACTGCGGAGTAAAGAACCAAATACCCAACGTTTGAACTACAGCAGACGACTGTAAAGTGCCCTTAATATTCAGCTTTTATGTGGAAAAGCTAGCGAGAACTTTGTACATATCAAAGATCGGTTTAATTAGCATTGCTATGTAATGTGGGAGTTTGAGTTGTAAATACATTTAGAGATAATAAATATATTAAAAATGTATTTCATTTGATTCATTGAATGTTGATGTGTATTTTAGCATTTAGGAACTTAGCAACACCCTGGCAACCACCTGGAACACTGTAACAACACAACAACATCAAAGCAACGCTCTAAGAACTATAACACCATAGTGACCACTTAGCAACACCATGGCAACCCCCAGATTACCTTAGAAGCACTCTAGCAATCACCTGGAACACTGTAACAACACTCAACAACATCCTAGCAACTATAACACCATAGCAACTACTTAGCAACACCCTGGCAACCACCCAGTTTACCTTAGCAACACTCTAGCCATCACCTGGAACGCTGTAACAACACTCAACAACATCCTAGCAATTATAACACCATAGCAACCACTTAGCAACACCCTGGCAACCACCAGATTACCTTAGCAGCACTCTACCAATTACCTGGAATACTATAACAACACTCAACAACATCCTAGCAACGCTCTAGCTACTATAATACCATAGCAACCACTTGGCAACACCCTGGCAACCACCCAGATTACTTTAGCAACACTCTAGCAATTACCTGGAACACTAACAACTCTAACGTGGGTGAGTCTGGATCATAACAGCAATGCCACTGTAGAAAACTGCGTGTTGATCTCATCTGGATCTTTTCAGCCTTTCAACAAGAATACATGAACTGAAGCTCATCAAATACAATAACAGATCATCTGAGACATTCATTCGGCTGAACTGAGCTTAAGCGAAGCAATAGTGTACAGTATTTGAAAAATAATGTGTTTTTTGAACATTAAAGCATGTCAACATATTCTGTTACACCAAATACACCAAATAATGATCTTTAAAAAAAGCATCATATGACCCCTTTAAAAAGTTTCATTTCTCAAACGTGCAACAACACACTTTTATGGACCCTGACAGCATGGAGGCATGAACATTATGCTAAATATCTCCCTTTGAGTTCCAAATAAAAAACAAACGCAAACGAGTGTGAAATAGCATGTGTGAACCATTTTATAAATGTAAACAACTTAAATAAAAAAAAATAAAATGTAAAAAATAATAATTTAAAAAAACTGTATAAAATTGTATTTCTGAGTTCTGAGATCTTTTTGAATGTTTCTAGATTGCAGACAAATAAAATAAAATAAAAGTTGTAGAATTATGGAGGTATTTTTGAATGTTTTTAGGTTGCAGACATAAAATAAAATACAAAAATAAAATAAAATAGTTGTAGATTTTCTAAGGTATTTTTGAGACCTAGAAAAAAATAATAGTAATATTTTTAAAATTAATTAAAAAAATTAAACAAATTTTTAAAAAAATAGTTCTAAAATTTCTAAGTTCTGAGATATTTTTTAAGTTTATTGGTTGTAGACTTAGAAAAAAAAAAAAATTATATAACATAAAAATACAAAAAATACAAATAAATATTATATAATAAAAAATAATATAATATAATATTAAATATATAAACATTAAATAAAATGCATAACAATAAAAATAAATGAAATAAAATAGTTGGTGAACTTCTGAGTTATTGGAACTTTTTAAAAGTTTCTAGGTTGCATAAAATAAAATAAATTGTAGAATTTATGAGGTTTTTGAACATTTTTAGGTTGCAGACCTAGAATAAAATAACATACAATATGAAAAAAAATACAATAATTAAAAATAAATAAAATAATAAAACATATTCAATTTAAATAAAATAATTTGTCAAATTTGTGTGTTCTGAGGTCTTTTGGATCATTTCTAGGTGGCAGACCTAGAATAAAATAAAATAATGTAAAATAAATAAAAATAAAATATAAAAAATAATAAAATAAAATAGTTGATGTAATTTCTGAAAATGAAGTAGTGTAGTAATTTGTGAGGTCTGTGTGATGGTGTCTAGGTTGCAGACCGTACAGCATCCCGCCCTGCGAGCATCACGTGCTCCGGAGAGCAGGAAACACCTCACTACAGCGTCCCGTACAAACAGGACAAACACTTCGGTGAGTCTGGTCTCCTGCTCTCGTGGGTCTCCAGTCTCAGTGCGTTTCCTCCACTAACTCATGTCTGTGGCCTCCTGCAGGATATAAAGCGTCCAGCAGCAGATCATGACTGTGCACAGCAACGGGCCGTCTATGGGGACTTTCTGCTCTACAAGATGAATACAATATAATTATTTTATAGAATGTATCAGAATTTATTATAAAAATGATGTAATAATTAATTTTGGATAGTGAATTATAATTAGTTAATCATGCATTAATTATTAAAGAATAATAATGTATTATTATTATTATTATTTATTATTATTTATTATAAAATAAATACAATATAATTAATTTATAGAATGTATCAGAATTTATTATAAAAATTATTTAATTGGATAGTTTGGATAGTAAATTATTATAATTAGTTAATCATGCATTAATTCATAAAGAATAATAATGTATTATTATTATTATTATTATTATGGAAAATATGCTTGTTTTTCCAAACAATACTGATTTTACTGAAATACTGAAACAATACTGATACTGATCTAAATTATTATAATTAATTATTAATGTATCAATTAATAAAAAATATAATAGTGTATGATTAAAATTATTATTAATAATATTGTAGAAAATGTTTGTTTTTCATGTAATGCCGATTTTGAGGGAAATTATTATCAAATGTATTATTAAATTACTAATAATAATAATAACTCTTCCTCCAGTGAAAAAGTGTTCTGGTCTGAATCAGGAGAGAAATCTGCACAGATCAAGCAGCGTTTAAACAGATCTAAACACATATGTGGCTGGATTTTGATGTGAGAGACAACAGCAGATGCACTTCTTCACTGGAGGAAGCGTTATTATGGATTATGGACTCATATTTGAGTTAAAAACGTCTTAATGCTGGATTAGTTTCAGCTTTTGTCTTCTCCAGATGTTAACTGATGGACTGGAGTGCTGTGGATTACTTGTGGATTATTGTGATGTTTTTATCAGCTGTTTGGACTCTCATTCTGACGGCACCCATTCACTGCAGAGCATCCATTGCTGAGACACTGATGCAGTGACACATTTCAAAATTTATATTTCTGACTTTTGCTGAATAAAAGATTGAAATGTCATCAAACGTTCGGACGCAGCACTGCATGTTTATTATACGGTGAAGCAGGTCGTGACCTCCATAAGTCCCACACGTCACTGCAGATCTGGTTTAGATCTTGTTTGTGTTCAGTTCAGGTCCAGCATGTGAAACCAAAACCTGAAAACAGCCCAAAACACCTGACAGCACAGCCACAGCTGCTTCATCCATCGACATGAGTACAGCTCAAAACTTCACTTACATAACAGCTACACTTTCTATTATATTGTTTCAAACTTCTACTTCAAAACATGTTTTGCAATGCAAATAGCTAAAGATAAAAGTCAGCTGTATAATATACTCAAACCAGCAGGAAAAATATGACCTCAGGACAAGAGAATT